TATGGCCAATTACAGTCCAGTAAAGAGCTCAAATGCAGTAAGAGTCTAATGAATTATGTGAGAGGGGCTACTCCGGAACTCGGTAAACCTTGGAAGGACTGTAAATATTTGTACATTCGTTGTTGGACCCATGACCATTGGTTTGTAGTTCAAGTCGACATGGAGGAACGGGCCATTTTAATGTTTGATAGTCTGAAGGGTCACATTCGCCGGGCAGCGTTGGAAGCTTACATTTTGCCTCTATAGGTGCTTACTCCGTTGATAATAAAATCTCATGTCACCAGTGAAAGCAAATATAGTACGGATAACTTCAAATTTGTGAACGTAAAAGATGTTCCCCAACAAGTGAACGGGTAAGAATGACTAATTTCATAATTAATAGTACCATATTATCTTAAGGGTTGAAAATTAATACAAAAATTTTACAACTTTTTTGTAGATCCGATTGTGAAATATTCACTATCAAATTCATAGAATTTCTGCACACAAATATGGACGTAAATACAATTCGATTGGATTACGTACCAATATGGAGAAAGAAACTGGCTGCAGAGTTGTTGGCTTGGGATTTTGAGCCGTAGATTATGCGTTGCTCGTATTTTTTTATATTTTTATAACATTATGTAGTCATTTGGTTGTTTTGGCTTTGAAGTAGCAGCTATTTTGGAGTTTGAATACAATTTCAATGTACATATTTTTCATTGTCTTCTATAACTTTAAAGTTTAGATATTGTCCATGTCAGGTTGTTGAGTTTTACATGTACAATCCTACATGTTTTCCATTGTCTTCCATTGTCATATCGTTGCAATGTAAGATGCACACTGTATCCTTATTTTTATAATGACTTAGAAGTCGTGATGACCACACATAATGACTTTGAAGTCGTTTCAGTTAAAATTGATACTAAAACAATTTAAAACTCGTTCCTGAGACAAAAAACGACATGCATATCATTGCAATATTAAATACACACTGCTCCTCTAATTTTGCGTAACGACTTAGAAGTCGTTATGACCACACATAACGACTTCTAAGTCGTTTCAGTTAGAATTAATACTAAAACGATTTCAATCTCATTCACAAGACACAAAACGACATGAATATCATTCCAACGTTAAATACGCACTGCTTCTTTAATCTTGAATAACGACTTAGAAATCTTTATAACCTTACATAACGACTTATAAGTCGTTTCAGTTAAAATTAAAACTAAAACGATTTCTACATCGTTTTCGAGACACAAAATGACATTCATATCATTTCAATGTTAAATACACACTGCTTCTTTGATTTTGCGTAACGACTTAGAACTCGTTATAAACACAAATAACGATTTAAAAGTCGTTTAAGTTAAAATTGAAACTAAAACGATTTCTAAATCGTTTTCGAGTCACAAAACGACATTCATATCGTTTCAATATTAGATACACACTGCTTCTCTGATTTTGCGTAACAACTTAGAACTCGTTATGAACATAAATAACGACGTAAAAGTCGTTTCAGTTAAAATTGATACTAAAATGATTTTTACATCATTTTCAAGACACAAAACGACATTCATATTGTTTCAATGTTAAATACAAACTGCTTCTCCGATTTTTCGTAACGACTTAGAACTCGTTATGAACATAAATAATGACTTAAAAGTCGTTTCAGTTAAAATTGATACTAAAACGATTTCTACCTCATTTTTAGACACAAAACGACATTCATATCGTTTCAATGTTAAATATACACTGCTTCTCTAATTTTGCATAACGACTTAGAACTCGTTATGAACATAAATAACGACTTAAAAATCGTTTCAGTAAAAATTGATACTAAAACGATTTCTACCTTGTTTCTGGGACGCAAAACGACATTCATATCGTTTCAATGTTAAATACACACTGTCTCTCCGATTTTGAGTAACGAATTAGATATCGTTATAGGCACATATAACGACTTCTAAGTCACGTCAGTTAAAATTGATACTAAAACGATTTCTAACTCGTTTCTGGGACACAAAATGACATTAATATCGTTTCAACGTTAAATACACACTGTTTCTCTGATTTTGAAAAATGACTTAGACCTCATTATGCACAAAAATAATGACTTAGAAGTCGTTTCGGGTAAAATTAGTACTAAAACGATTTCAAACGCGTTCCTGAGACACAGAACGACATGAATATCGTTTCAATGTTAAATACACACTGCTTCTCTGATTATCGTTTCTTCTTGTTCAGAGCGACATTGATATTGTTCTAGCGTAATTGTTCCTGAAAGTTGATCCATCTCGTTTCATTATAAAACGGTCGAGTTCGAAATCGTTTCAGCAGAAATTATAAGTGCAACGACATCGGTATCGTTTCTTCACAGTTGAAATGACATTAGTATCATTATGCTTAAAAATGGCATTTCTGCCATTCATGACCATCGACATACGTCCCACCGTACGTATGACGATGAAAACAGGTCATCGAGCCGGCTCAATTTCACTCGAACGACGCTATGGTAACGTTTGTTATTTCTTAGTTGTCTTTTACACTCAGGTTGTTTCGATAGAAACTGGGCATCGCCTTTGGTTCTTTTGGGCCATTCGAGAGCTACCAGCCTACTTGATACACTATTTTGATTGTCATACACATTTCAGAGGTATGTGGAGCGATCAAGGAGGATCGAAACGTCGTTTTTAGGTATAACGACATTAATGTCGTTTCAACTGTGAAGAAACGATACCGTTGTCATTGTACTTATTATTCCTGGTGAAATGATTTTGAACTCGTCAGATTTGTAAAGAAACGAGATGGACAACATTACGTCATTTCACTACTTGGTACATAACGATATTTATATCGTTCCTTGTATAATTTTATGACTTCTAACTTGTTTTAGTTTAAATAACATCTACAACGACCTCAAAGTCATTTCTTTAAGAACATAACGATATTTATATCATTATACCTAGAAACGACGTTTCGACCGTCCTCGATTGTTGTACATACCTCCGAAATGTGTATGACGATCGAAAGAGCGTAACAAGTGGGCTGGTAGCTCTCGAATGGCCTCTAAAGAACCAACGGAGATGCCCTGTTTCTATCGAAACAACCTGAGTGTGAAAGACAACTATGAAATAACAAACGTCACCATAGCGTCGTTCAAGTGAGATTGAGCCAGCTCGATGACCTGTTTTCATCATCATACGTACTATGGGATATATGCCCGTGGCCGTGGATGGCTGAAACGTCATTTTTAAGCATAACGATACTAATGTCGTTTCAACTGTGAAGAAACGATACAGATGTCGTTGTACTTATTATTCCAGGTGAAACGATTACGAACTCGTCAGATTTGTAAAGAAACGAGATGGATAACGTTACATTATTTCAGTACTTGGTACATAACGATATGTATGTCGTTCTTTGTGTAATTTTATGACTTCTAACTCGTTTCAGTTTATATAATATCTACAACGACGTCAAAGTCGTTTCTTCAAGAACATAACGATATTTATATCATTATACCTAGAAACAACGTTTCTACCGTCCTCGATCACTGCACATACCTTCGAAATGTGTATGACGATCGAAAAAGCGTAACAAGTGGGCTGGTAGCTCTCGAATGACCCGAAAGAGCCAACGGAGATGCCCTATTTCTATGGAAACAATTTGAGTGTGAAAGACAACTATGAAATAACAAACGTTACCATAGCGTCGTTCGAGTGAGATTGAGCCGGTTCGATGACCTATTTTCATCGTCATACGTACAGTGGGACGTATGTCGGTGGCCGTGGATGGTCGAAACGTCATTTTTAAATATAACGATACTAATGTCGTTTCAACTGTGAAGAAACGATACCGATGTCGTTGCACTTATAATTTCAGCTAAAATGATTTCGAACTCGGCCGGTTTATAATGGAATGAGATGGATCAACTTTCAGGAACAATTACGCTAGAACAATATCAATGTCATTTTGAACGAGAAGAAACGATAATCATAGAAGCAGTATGTATTTAACATTGAAACGATATTCATGTCGTTCGGTGTCTCAGGAACGCGTTTGAAATCATTTTAGTTCTAATTTTACCTGAAACGACTTCTAAGTCGTTATTTTTGTCATAACGAGGTCTAAGTCGTTTCTCAAAATCAGAGAAGCAGTGTGTATTTAACATTGAAACGATATGTATGTCGTTTTGTGTCCCAGAAACGAGTTAGAAATCGTTTTAGTATCAATTTTAACTGACGCGACTTAGAAGTCGTTATGTGTGCCTATAACGATATCTAAGTCGTTACTCAAAATCGGAAAGGCAGTGTGTATTTAACATTGAAACGATATTAATGTCGTTTTGTGTCCCAAAAATGAGGTAGAAATCGTTTTAGTATCAATTTTTACTGAAACGACTTTTAAGTCGTTATTTATATTCATAACAATTCTAAGTCGTTACGAAAAATCAGAGAAGCAGTGTGTATTTAACATTGAAACGATATTAATGTCGTTTTGTGTCCCAAAAATGAGGTAGAAATCGTTTTAGTATCAATTTTAACTGAAACGACATTTAAGTCGTTATTTATGTTCATAACGAGTTCTAAGTCGTTATGCAAAATCAGAGAAGCAGTGTGTATTTAACATTGAAATGATATGAATGTCGTTTTGTGTCTAGAAAACGAGGTAGAAATCGTTTTAGTATCAATTTTAACAGAAACGACTTTTAAGTCGTTATTTATGTTCATAACGAGTTCTAAGTCGTTACGAAAAATCAGAGAAGCTGTTTGTATTTAATATTGAGACGATATGAATGTCGTTTTGTGTCTCAGAAACGATTTATAACTCGTTATGTTAATCTGTACTATTTTTGAACTGGAACGACATTCATGTCTATAGTAACGACATGAACGTAGTTTGCATTCCCTGTGAGAAAATAGGAGCATGAATACCTAAAATACTAAAATTTGATTCCAACGGTACAAAAATATTTCAATAACATAATGAGTACAAAATCTAATAAGTGATTTCATTCAGTTGATATAATAAGTACGAAGTCGTACAATTACAAAACAGGATAGTGTTACAACATTAATGTTCACTACTAGCTGCTTGGCCCATGCAAGTGGATCGAACATGACCAGTTTCTTGCAAGTGCTGTACTTACGGGCCACACGCGTCTCTCCGGCCGACCTTTTCCTCTTTTTTGATGGTCGTCCGCCCTGTCTTCGTACCAATGGTGGAAATACTTCTCTGGCTATCACATTCTTAGGAATTTGCCATTCGACCTCGTTCGGCAAAGGATATACGAATTTAGAATAAGCTTGCTTCCAACAAATACTAGTGTAAAAGAGGGTACATAATTTATAGCCCTTGTCTCCTTTAAACTTTGCTGCAACAATTGCATACGCACATGGAAACTTGTCCAAATCAAATCTTCTACACGTACATGTCATTTCGTAAAAATCCACAAAGTGGTGTTCTAAATTGTCACCAACTTGATAAATGTCCGGAGAAACCTGATTTACCTCCAACCCATTTGACTCATTATATGTCATGCACATCTTTTTCTCTAATGCTGACGTGAGTTGGGTCACACATTTTTCTGCTTCAACGTGTCTTTCATAAAACCACCTTTGTAGTATCCCACGAATATATTCTAGTAAACCAACTATGAGAAGTTCTCGAGCACTCTTCAACAAACCATTTATAGATTTCGTATTATTTGTAGTCATGATATTTTAACGTATCCCGGTAAAATGCACTCTAGCCCAACATTGAAAATCTTCTTCTAATAGGTACTCTTTGATGCCCTCCTTTTTACTGTATAGAGCTGCCATATAGGACTCAAATTCGATTACAGTATAAGCCTCTGACGCTGCCCAAAACAAAGTTGCAACATCACACCGTGGAAAATTTGTCTTCAAGTTCTTTTGCAAGTGATATGTACAATTACCATGATGAGCAAATCGAAACACATTTCTAACTCCATTGTTGATGCACATTGCACGGTCAGATATAATCACAAGGTCATCCGTATCACCTGTCATTAACCACAACTTCTGAAGAACCAAGTCTAGGATTCATCATTCTCCGAATCAACTACTCCCCATGCGAGTGGAAATATTTGAAAATTTGCATCCTGAGAAGTTGCTATGAGTAGAATACCTTTCATTCTCGATGTCAAGAATCCACCGTCTACAGAAATTACCTTTCACATTGAGTTTACGAACCCATGTATACTTGGTCCCAATGCCATAAAAAGGTCCTTGAAGCGCCGATCATCATTAGTATGAATGAATGTCAGTGTACCAGGATTTTGCATCTCCAAAACATGACAATATGCTGGCAATTTCGCATAACTCTCACGGGGTTTCCCACGAATCAGTCCCCAAGCAAAATTTTTGGTCATGTACGCTTTAGTATAGCTTACGGTTATGCCGGACTCTCGACGAATGTCATTAATAATGTCCCTTGGTCTGTAAACTAGATTGAATTCTTCATACTTAGGAGCGATGTGATTTCCAATAATCATATATGAAGCATGCCTATGATCTCTGTGGCGAACACTCATGGAGCAAGAATGATGACCATTGTACTTTCGAACTTCGAAAATGGGACTTTCTACGATCTTGATTGCCCGTAAGCGCCACTTGCAATTTTCATCAATACAAACAATTGTATAAGTGCTCTTATTTCACTTCTTAACTTTGTACTACAACTGGTTGACTCACACATCTAATCGTTCCGAAATTTTTACTGATGTCTCATAACAGAGCGAACTTACAATTTCAGATACAATCTGAGTACATTCAACATTATTACCATTCACTATATTCCTACTACAAGGTTCATGTGTGCGTAACTCAAAATTATTGTCATCTGCCACACGAGAATTAACTTCGTCATCTACCCTTCGGGGACTATCTTCACTTACATCAAAACCATTACAATCTACAAATATTCCATCGCCATTGTCATCGTTTCCATCGTTGTCTGTTCGATCTTGTTCCTCCTTGTTGTTCATATTTCCAATTTGTTCTCCACCATCTATTACTAATAAACATCCTTCATCACCAAAATCTTCCTAATTCTCAACAACTTCATTTAAAATACTTACACAAAGAAAAGATTTTGTACAGGCAGATATAAACCACTTTACGTTGTTGTCACAATCAATTATAATTGTTGCAGCTGAAGCTTTAGACATTATCGAGACAATAGCTGAAATCTCCATTTTGTATAGACTCATATCGATATTCAATGCCTCCTTAACTTTATCATATAGTTCCATGTAAGAAATTGTTTTTGTAACAAGAATAGGTATTGTTTTCCCTTTGCCATTTCCAGAATACTTCCATTTCCATCCACCTTCAAATGTCTGATCATATTCAATTGGATGACAAACCGATATCCATACAATGTCCATGGTGTCCATAACCTATAACTCAACGTATAAATTTCATCAAATTTCAAATATCATACAATATTGATAATGATATGTACGTTGTCATGGATTTCAGAAAACGATATCTATGTCGTTCACAATTTCATAAAACGATATGAACGTCGTTCTGTACTGAAAAAATCAAATCCACGTTTCACGTGAAAACAATGTGAAAAAAGCCAATCATCCTTCACCACTTTACATTTCACTTCAATTAACACTAAGGAATACAAATAAGGGGTAATGAGAATAAGATTGGGAAGTAAATCATTTAAAGATCCAATCAAATCATAAAATAAATTCAAAATCATTATTGAAAAATGAACACCACAAACACATATACAACAACATGAACGAATGATTCAAAACAATGGAGAAAGAAAGTGGCTCAAATATCGAAAATTTACCATACGCTCTCTTCTTCTCCAAATGCCCAATAAAAATATAGCAATATTTTATTATTCACTTCAACCAAATGAATGTTCAATGGAATGAAAATGTAGATTTTGTGATTTCATTAAGTAGAGAAGAAGATGGTGATAAGAAAATCAGCATGGAGTCATCTACCGTAGTTGAGTCGTTCATAGAGGAGGGAAGGAGATTAGGGTTGAAAGGAAATTGAAATGAAAATAAGGGTAATATCATCATTTCACATACAAGGATATTTTAGTCTTTTACAAATTCTATTTTTCATATTTAATAACTTTAGGCCTTTCAACTAAAAGTCTTAGTTCTTGGTCTTCTTGAATAAATGTTTAGTTTGACCAAGCCTTTTAAATGAATTCCCCCTTTTTATTTGGCCCTCCTCGCTTACATAAAAATCATATTTTAATAGCTTTTTATAAAATTGTTAAAATATCTATCTTCTTATATAATTGAACAGTAAATGAATTCCATGTGATTTTTTTTTTGTCTTCTTATTTTCATCACGCATCACTCCTCTTCACACAATCGTCTGGCTTCTTCCATTTCTCAAAGCAACCTTCTATGCTTATTTCCTTCATTCTTCACGACCACGACTACGATCACGATCGTACAACTTCTCCTTTCTTCTATTCATTTCTTTTTCCATTTTTTCTATTTCGTTTTCCTTTAATTTCATCTTCTCGGTGGTTGACATTCTCAAAGTTCTAACCATTAGTTTTGTTTTCTTTTACAGAGACTTTCCATCATAGAACAATCGAAAGAATTATTGAAACAAGGGTTTTTGGTAAGCAAATATAGATATTTGCTATGAACTGAACATATATTAGTTTGATTTTACTATGTGGTTCTAGGTAGATATTTTTTTTAGAGGGTATTATTCCCAAAGGATTAAGGATTTTATTTTGTTTTACGAGGCAAGCAAAAGATGAAGTAGTTCTAATGGATCGCTTAGGTTGGAAAAAAGCCCACTTCTTCGGCCATTGAAGTTGGTGAATTCGGATTTTGAATTTTTATTGATTTTGGTTTTTTTATTTTCATTCTATTGTTGAAGGTAAACTGTAGTTTTAGCTCATTATTATCTCCTCAAGATGGTTAGTCAAATAGGTGAAAAGAATATGGTAAACTAAAAAATAAATAACCAAATAGTTTGATAGTTTGAGGCTGAAGAAAACTATAGAGAATAAAAAGAAAAAAGAAGAAAAATAAACCAAAAAAAAAAAAGGAAAAAAAAGAAGGCAATTGAAATCACTTGCTGGGAACTCATTGGGGAAGATTCTTTCTGCGAGGTAGATTGTCAATTTTCACTTTGTTTCATTACTTTGGAAGCTTGTCATTCTTTGGGGTTATGCATTGTGATTTCAGAAGAATTTTCTTCTTGTTTATAGAAGGAGGAGATGAATCACTTCTCAAAACAATTAATTTTGGCTTATCCATATTTTTGGAGCTACTTTCCAATGCTGTATGTTTTTTGTGATTATAGTTAAGATTTTGTCATTAAAAAAAACTCTCCGAACAGACCATCTCTCCACACTATGTGAAGAGATTTGGTCTCTCCGAACTATACGGAGAGATTTTTTTATTTTTTTAATCGGTATCATTACTTGATAAGTGTGCGTTTGTCTTCTTTTCTTTGGTCCATTTTTTATATACAATTATATTTAGTTTATTTATCTAGAATGCTTTAAAAAAATAATTATTAAGCTAATAAAAAATACACTAAAAAAGTATACAAATCAAATTTCTCAAAAAATTAGAAACAAAAAAGTAAACAAAATGCATTTACCTATTTTTAGTTTTGTTTGATTTACTAATTTAATAATTTAAATGAACAAAAAAAATTACAAATGCCATGCGAAATGTGTGGAGTCTGACTCCTCACAATTTGTGTACAGACTCTACACAAATTGTGCGGAGTGCAAAGACTTCGCACTGTGCCGAGTTTGCACTTGTGCGGAGACTGATAGGATATTAATAAGTACTTTTTGTACGGTAACTATAAAGTTAACAATATTTTTTGGAATTTAATTATTGACTTGTGAAATTTTCAGAACTATTACTGCAATCTTGTTTACTTTATACAATGCATAGAATATCTCTACTTAATATTAAATTTATATCATATAGTCGTGGTTAACCAAAAACGTAATGTAAGATAGGTCTAGAGAATTTTGAGACTTCCGCACTATGTGGAGTCTTCGCACAATTTGTGCAGCTCCACACAAGTGTGCGGAGCACTTATGCAGAGACTGCGCACAAATTGCATAATTTGTCTCGAGTCTCCGCACAAATGCTGTAAAACTCCCTTAATTTTTTTATTTTTATTTGTTTAATCATGCAACTAATATTTGTTTACTTTGTTATTTTATTAGTTAAAAATATGTATTAAATTTAATAAAAAAAATATAACTACAAGAACTTCAAAATAATACCAAAAAAAACTCTCAATAATTAAAAATGAAAGAATCATTGCTAAACAACAAAAGCATTTAAACATAATGGAGAAGACAAAAAATAAAAAAGTAAAACCTATGAATATGGGGAAAGGAACAACAAAAGGAAACTGTCAAAAATTAACAACAATTATTGTTCAAATGTGAAATTACTTATTGCACTATACATACAAATAACTGAAATGTAAAAATTTTTGCAGTTGATTTTTTCCAAAAACACTCACATGATTTACTATTTCATCTAATTCTTCACCAAATTAGCAGGTGAAGAGTATATATTTATTGTTTGGTGATGAAATTTTTTTAAATAATCATAATAAATCTTCTTGTCACACTAATAAAATTATAATATTCTTTTTTAATTTTTTTTTTCAAATAGCATAAAAAAGTAAAATCAATTTCATTTTCAACA